TTATTAAGCACAGAAAGAATAAGCAAATATTCATCAAACTCCAAAATACCAGTAGGTGAAAGGTTTACGGGGAAACTTTTAGCCAGGCGTGCTGGTGGGCACCTGTAATCCCAGCTACTAGGGAGGCCGAGGCAGGAGAATCGCTTGAACGTGGAAGGCAGAGGTGGCAGTGAGCCGAGATCGTGCCATTGCACTCCAGCCTGAGCGACAAGACGGAGACTCTGTCTCAAAAAAATAAAAAATAATTCGGCTGGGAAGGGTGGTGAGAAATTTGCAGTTAAGAGAATGAAGTCTGAAGCCATGGCTGTTATGGTAGAGATCTCTTCAGAGCCTAGGCAAGGCTCCGGTCACTGCGGCCAGGGCCAGCACGGCCAGGGCCAGGACTTGGTTCTCATCTCCCCCTCACTGCCCTTGCATTGTTCTCCAAATCCCCCGGTGACCGAGCAGATACCCTGGGGGGACGAAACGAGGCCCACCCTGGCTTCCTCGAGCAGGACAGGGCCTGCCTGTGCCCCTTCCTTTAGTCTCAGAAAAGCCAAAATTAGCCTCACTTTTGTTTCTTTTCTCAGGAGCCTCTAAATTGTATCTCAGGAAAGGATTATTGTGCTCCAGGGACCCTATCTTATCGTGGGGTGTGGGGGAGGTGATGAGTGAAAGGAAAATGGTCTTTGACAAATTGGTTCAATTCGGACAATCACGTGATTTTCCAGTAATTGCCCACCGCGGCTTTAGTGAGGCTATTGTTTCACTTCCCAAATATTTAGTCAAGTAGGAGGCCTGAGAAGACTGGGGAGGGTCAGAGGCTGGAGAGCACGATCGTGGGGGGAAAAGGGCTGTTTTTGGTGATCTCAGGCTCCGGGTTCTTTATCACTAACTCTGAAGGACTCACAACCACTTCAGGTGTAAGCAGACCCCTCAGGGCCACCCCTGCCGGAGTGCACTGTCCCCGTAGGGGAAGATCCCTTCTGAGGTGTGGGCTCTGGAACTGGTGGCTTCTGAGCCTAGTTTGATCCACTCCTCCCTGCGTCACGGCTGATCAGGCTGCCTTGCTGGCCCTCTGAGGAGATAAGGGAGTATTCTTTTCCCTCTCCTGGTGAACACCGCTGAGAAAACAAAGTCACACACCGTGAATTAGGGGACAAATGAGACTTGGCTGCCGGAGCTAAAGGTTTCACACAAAGAATTCAAGGCATGACCAGGCATTGGCTCTTATGCAACTTTTCAAAAATTCCTGGGTCTCCAGGGAGAAAGAGCACGAGCTCTGGGGTGACCTCACCCTGCCTCGCTCAGCCCGGCATCACGGGACATTTGGGGGATGAGGTCGGACGGCGGCGGCAGCAGCAGCACGTGAGAATGTGTGTTATCGACGGGGAACACTTTTCCCGTGCTCTCATGTGGTCATCTGTCTGATATGCCTGTGGGTGGAGGTGGGTAGAGGGGAAGGGAGTGTCCTGTCACCGGCGACAGAAAAGAGGCATGAGGTCATTGGAGCCCAAGGCTTTCCTCACTGACCATCGGCAGCAATTGTCTTCCCAGCTTCCACTCCCAAGGGTTCACCTCCGCTCCCACAGAGGGGATTCCTGCTTCGGACACACATTTTCTTCCATCTGAAAATACGCCCTGATAGTCAGACAGGGGTTATATTATTTGGAGAGAGATTTGGCAATTAACTTTGACAACTGCGGACTTTTTCCAGTTTCTGAGGACAATTCCCTCACCTCGGAGCCCCTCCGAGACGCTGCCCTTGCTTCTCATAACTCCCTGCCTAGGCACGACGGTGCAGGCAGCCCTTTGCCCGCCTTGCCCACACCCTCCCTGCCCAGGGTTCCTCACCATGCATCTCACTGCGATCTGGGATTCCTCCCACTCCTCCACCCCCATCCTACTGAATCGCGTCACCGATCAGGAGCTGAGACCTGAGAAGCTGCATGAGAAACAGACCACACTGGCGATTCTGCTGCCCACTGAACCGGAGAATCATTGAGCCAGCCGATCTCTAACCACTGACTTAGCACCAGTGTTCTAGAATCAAAATGTTCTGAGGGATGGCAGCCTCGAGGGAATCAACGCACAGCCTCCCACTTGTGCAGGTGTTTTAACAACCATTAGGTCTCAGTCTTCCTACCTCAGTGATTCTCTTTTTTTTTTTTTTTTTTTTTTGAGACGAAGTCTCGCTGTGTCGCCCAGGCTAGAGTGCAGTGGCCGGATCTTGGCTCACTGCAAGCTCCGCCTCCCGGGTTCACGCCATTCTCCTGCCTCAGCCTCCTGAGTAGCTGGGACTACAGGCGCCCGCCACCTCGCCTGCCTAGTTTTTTGTATTTTTTAGTAGAGACGGGGTTTCACCGTGTTAGCCAGGATGGTCTCGATCTCCTGACCTCGTGATCCACCCGTCTCGGCCTCCCAAAGTGCTGGGATTACAGGCTTGAGCCACCGCGCCCGGCCCTCAGTGATTCTCTACCTTGGTTGCATGTTGGAATCATGCCTGGGGTTTTTTAAAGTTATACATAATATGCTTCCCAGCAGAGATTAGACATGTGGGCTTTCCCCGCCCTGCTTCTCTAAGGAAGCAAAAAAAATGGCTTTGGAATCCCAGGCAGTGGTATCACCAGAAGTGTAATGTTGACACCTGGTAAGGAAATCTCCCAACCAAGTCACTTGGAGGCACAGAGGGCAGCCATCTGAACAGAGTGGGGACTGGAGATCCCAGGACTTACTGTGGTCATTTCCTTTAGAAGAATCACTTCAGTGTTTGGAGAAAGGGGTGCTCTCAGACCCTTAGGCTCCAAGGTGACCAAAGAAAAGCTGCAGACCCTGGGGTGGATCTCTGGGGAGGAGCGGGCAAGAGCGTGGAGGTCCTGGCTGTCGGTGCTGGTGAGGCTGGAACGGGGTCTGACACAGCATTCCAGAGCCAGCTGGTGTCCCAGGAGGAGGCTGTATAGGTGAATTTAGGAGCCCAAGTAGGGATTCCTTGGCCCGGATTAGCAAGAGGTAGGGGGAGGTGGTCTCTGCTTGAAGGCTCACAGCTGCCCTGCGAGGCTGCTAGGAGCAGCTGGAGGGTATAAGCTAAGGATGGGGCAGGACCAGTGACCGACAGTGACACCATGAGGCAGTGAGAGGTCACAGCACAGGTAACCGTAACTGCTAATAGTTATTTGGTGTTATTTGCCCAGCACTGATCAACGTGCCTTACACTTATTAATTCACTTAATGACAGTTCTGTGAGGAAGTCATTATTATACCCATTGTGGAGAGAAGGAAATGAAGGCATGAAGGCTACACAATTAGAGTGGCTGCCAGTCTGTGCCAGTCTGCGAACCCAGGCAGTCTGGCTCTGGAGCCCACACCTCTAACCAGGAGGCCTTGCTGCCTTCATGGCAATAGCCGTCATTAACTGAGCACTTACTGTGTCCTGTCATGGCCTCTGTGCTCTTTCAGCCTTCACTGCAATCTTATGAGGTGGGAAATACTTTTCTTCTTGTTTCACAGATAAGGAAAATGAGGCACAGGAAAGAAAAACAGGCAACTGCTTACCATCCATTCTCTCCCCTCTGGGAGTGGAAGCCAGACTAATTCCATGGCAGCTCTTTTGCTTTTTTTTTTTTTGAGAAAGAGTCTCGCTCTGTCACCCAGACTGGAGTGCAGTGGCACAATCTTGGCTCACTGCAACCTCTGCCTCCCAGGTTCAAGCGATTCTCCTGCCTCAGTCTCTCGAGTAGCTGGGATTACAAGTACCCGCCACCATGTCCGGCTAATTTTTGTATTTTTAGTAGAGACGGGGTCACCATGTTGGCCAGGCTGGTCATGAACTCCTGACCTCAGGTGATCCGCCTGCCTCAGCCTCCCAAAGTGCTGGGATTACAGGCGTGAGCCACTGTGCCCGGTCAGCTCCTTCACTTTTTAGAACTTAATAAGTCTTTAGGGTTCTCAGAAAACTCGGGGTAGGTGGAAGCTTCAATAGGGGATTCTGGGCATCCTGCAATAAAACATGTGCCCTCCTGAGTGCAGAACTGGAAGGACAAAGATTCTGTGACATTATTTCTCCCTCTAAATTTGTGAAAGCAAATCATACCGATTATGGGGGCCTCATCCCAGATCCATTGAACCGGAATACATGAAGAGTGAGGCCAGGAAATCTGAACTAAATCAAAACCAAAAACAAACCACAGGTGATTCTGATGTACAACCGGGGTTGAAAATTACTGCGTTATCTCACAGTCATATGCGTGGCCCTAGTGAGCAGGCAGCACTGTTTCACCTTGCCCGCTGCCTAGGCAGAGCCTATTTGTCAAGACAGGGGAATTGCAGTAGAGAAAGAGTAATCCACGCAGAGCCAGCTGTGCGGGAGACCGAGGTTGTATTATTGCTCAAATCAGTCTGCCTGAGCATTTGGGGAGCAGAGTTTTTAACGACAACTTGGTGGGTGGGGGAAGCCAGTGAGCCGGGAGTGCTGATTGATCAGGATTGGGGGAAGCCAGTGAGCCGGGAGTGCTGATTGGTCAGGGATGAAATCATAGGGACTCGGAGCTGTCCTCTTGCACTGAGTCAGTTCCTGGGTCGGGGCCACAAGATCAGATGAGCCAGTTTATCCACCTGGGTGGCACCAGCTGACCCATCAAGGCCAGAATCTGCAAAATATCTCAAGCACTGACCTTAGGAGCAGTTTAGGGAGGGTCAGAATCTTGTAGCCTCCAGCCCCATGACTCCTAAACCATGATTTCTAATCTCTCGGCTAATTTGTTAGTCCTACGAAGACAGTCTAGTTCCCAGGCAAGAAGGAGGTTTGTTTTGGGAAAGGGCTGCTGTCATCTTTGTTTTAATGTATAAACCAAGTTAATCCCAAAGTTAGTTCATCTTTGCCCAGGAATGAGCAAGGACAGCTTGGAGATCAGAAGCAAGATGGAGTTGGTTAGGTCAAGTCTCTTTCACTGTCTCACTTACAGTTTTGCAATGGTGGTTTCATTTCCAACAACAACTTCTAATTTTCAAATTCTCTTGCTTAGAAAGAAGCTGCATGCGAGGCCTGAGCAGAACTCCTGTCCTGTCACACAGCGGACATTGCTCAACAGGCAAGAGAATGTGCCAAGGAAGAAGCTGGGTGAGGCCTGGAGCAGACAAGCAAACATCCAGGCACTCTGTTCTTACCCTTCCCCCTGCCTTCTCTACTTGGAGAATCATCACCTGGTCTTAAAAGCCAGGCCCATGAAGCCATGTCTTCTTGTGAACACTTCCCCTGTCTGGCCTCCGCCTCCTCCTGGCCTCTCCTCCTGGGCACTGCGCTTTCCCTACAGGGCTGAGATGCCCTTGCAGACAAGGGCTGGGAGTTATTCCCACGGTCCCCTGGCCCCAGCAGGGTGCCTTGGACATAGTAACCCATCAGAAACTGTCAGTCCAATGAACATAAGGGAAAGGAAGATGAGAGGAGTGAAGGCAGAGGGACAGAGAAGTCAAAGGGTAAAGCAGTAACCATGTTTGGGGGATGGCCAGTGAAATGTGATTTAATGCCAACCCCATGAGTAAATGGGATCTTTACTCTGACCCATGGGACAGCCGGTCCAGGTACTCACCCAGTCACCCTCTACCTGTGGATCACAGATACTGAGAGAAACGTGAGAACAGCGTGCATGATTTTACCAGGAATCTTTTATTATCATTGTTGATCCTTATTACGCCCCTGTGAGATAACTAGGGTAGCTATTTATAATCCCATTTTGCAGCTGAGGAGACTAAAGCTCCAAAAGGGCCAGGTGCAATGGCTCACGCCTGTAATCCCAACACTTTGGGAGGCCAAGGCAGGAGGAGCCCTTGAGGCCAGGAATTCAAAACGAGCCTTAGCAACATAGTGAAACCCCGATCTGTATAAAAAATTAAAAGTTGCTAGGCATGGTGGCTCACACCTGTAATCCCAGCACTTTGGCAGGCCGGGGTGGGTGGATCACCTGAGGTCAGGAGTTCGAGACCAGCCTGGCCAACATAGTGAAATCCTGTCTCTACTAAAACTACAAAAATTAGCCAGGTGTGGTGGTGAGCATCTGTAGTCCCAACTACTTAGGAGGCTGAGGCAGGAGAATCGATTGAACCCCGGAGGTGGAAGTTGCAGTGAGCCGAGATTGCGCCACTGCACTCCAGCCTGGGTGACAGAGTGAGCCTCCATTTAAAAAAATATATATTAAAAGTTAGCCAGGTGTTGTGGTATGCACCTGTATAGTCCTAGCTACTTGGGAGACTGAGGCAGGAGCATCAATTGAGCCCAGCAATTTGAGGTTATAGTGAGCTATGATTGCACCACTGTAATCCAGCCTGGGCAACAGAGCAAGACCCTCTCTCTCTAAAAAATTAAAAAAAAAAAAGCTCAGAATGTGGCTACTAGGCAGAAGGTGGGTTAATGCAAGTTCATTGTGAGGCAAAAATAGCTCAGAATTTTTTTTTTTTTTTTTTTTTTTTGAGACGGAGTCTTGCTCTGTCGCCCAGGCTGGAGTGCAGTGGCTGGATCTCAGCTCACTGCAAGCTCAGCCTCCCAGGTCCACGTCATTCTCCTGCCTCAGCCTCCGGAGTAGCTAGGACTACAGGCGTCCGCCACCAGGCCCGGCTAGTTTTTTGTATTTTTTTAGTAGAGACGGGGTTTCACCATGTTAGCCAGGATGGTCTCGATCTCCTGACCTCGTGATCCAAAAAAATTTGGAGCCTTTTGGCCTCACATGAACTTGCATTTCACCCACCTTCTGCTAGGGCCACATTCTGAGTCTTTTTTTTTTTAATTTTAGGAGGAGAGAGGGGTCTTGCTCGTTGCCCAGGTGGATTACAGGTGTGCAACATGTCCACTATAACCTAATGGCTTTGGGGCTCAATTGAGGCGCGTGCCTCAGTCTCCAGGTGGCTGCTATACAGGTGCATACCACACCTGGCTAACTTTATATATTTTTTTAAGTGGAGGCTCACTCTGGTCACCAGCTGGAGCGGCAGTGGCGCAATCTCGCTCACTGCAACTTCAGCCTCCGGGTCATCGATTTCCTGCCAGCCTTAATAGGTTGGGGCTACAGGTGCTCACACCCCACCTGCTATTTTTGGAG